CTCTCTCTCTCTCTCTCTCTCTCTCTCTCTCTCTCTCTCTCTCTCTCTCTCTCTCTCTCTCTCTCTCTCTCTCTCTCCCCCCTTCTCTCTCTCTCTGCCCCCTTCTCTCTCTCTCTCTCTTTCATCTCTCCTTCTCTAGTATTCAATCTCCTTTCTGTCGCCCCCTAGGTCCTTCATTAGCCCTCCCTCTATGCTTCCCATGTAGTCCTCTTTCCCCTTTGAACCTTTCCTCATATCTCTGCTCATCTCTGCACTGTCCTAGCCCCCACCCCTCCCCATCCCAGTCCTCTTCCCCCTTACATCCATTTTCCTCTTCCTGTAGCCCCTCTCCTTTCTCCTCCTCTCTTTGCGATCTAGTGCACTCCACAAACTCTCTGCTTCTCCGTTTTCCCCGGCCCGCCTCACTCTTTCCCTTCTTTGCTCTTCTCCTCTCTCCTCTCTCCTCTCTCTCCTCTCTCCTCTCCCCTCTCTCCTCTCTCCTCTCTCCTCTCTCCTCTCTCCTCTCCGCTCTCTTCTCTCCTCTCTTCTCTTATTCAGTTATCCCCTTGAAGCATCCACAGCAATGAGTTAAAATGATAGTCGCACCCTTTTATATCTGAAAAGCGCTTTCAACAAGCAGACGGTGGAGTGACATGCATTTCCATTCTCTCAAAATGCGTCATCACCTACCTTCTCTCTTCAAAACAGAGAGACTTGAAAGATGGATTTGCATCCCTAGATTCCGATGCTATGACCTCCTCCTACTTTCTACTTTACACAGCCTTCAGCCTTGACTTGTGCTGCCAGCCACGTCCTACATGTCTCCCCGCTGCTCTCTAGTTCTCCCATCGAGACTCTCTCTCCCTTGGCTGCGACAAAATGTACTCCTTTGAGAGAAAAATTCACTGTTGTATAAGAAAGTCCCTGGCTGCTGATTCTCTGACATCTCATCTTTCTCCTCATCAACCAGTCCTCCCTGCAAATAGGTTCCGATGTAAAGTGATGGTCATCATGATCTTGTTCTTGTCTTCAACAGCCAAACCTTGCCCTTGCACTTGATCCTGCCAAAAATAACATCGGAATAATCGATCAGCAGAATCAACATCAGCATGAAAAAGACAAGAAATCCCTAATAGGGCACGGGGGTGGGGGGGTGGAGGGTGGGGGGCCTTCTCTCTTCTCTGGTGGAGTCTGGGTTTCGCAGGCGAGGTAACATAGGGAGCCTAGCGGATGCCTAACCTCGTTTTCTCGGACTGGCTAAAGAGGGAGGGGTGTTAAGGTAGGCAGACTGTCCAGGGGTCGCAGTTTCTTCCCCTGCTACCTACTACTACTACTTAATTGATCTACTCTTCTCTTCTTCTTCTTCTTCTTCTTTTTTATTATTATTTTTTTTTATTTTTTAATTGATCTACTTTTCTCATGCTTGCCTGTAATGAGCAACCCGACTGGTGGACCCCAGAAAAGAACGGGCTGTCTTCTTGTTTTGTTGAAGAAAAGAAAAGAAACGAAAAAAAAGGATGATTGGTTTTTCGTTTGTCCGATTGCACCAAACTGCATCCTTGAGAGAAGCTGATACTAGCGCGATAGAATCAGGGCATACTCACACCAGGACTTTTTCAACTGCTCTGTGGATGTGATTACAGTCAGATGCATCCAGATCGAGGCGGAATTCCAGTCAGATACATTTATGCGAGGATTTTAAGCCCTCGGCATACCTGCATGCAGCCCCTGCAGCAAACATGTGCCCACCCTAAGTGAAGGCGGGCCCCTAAATCTCAATGAGGCCTGAATTAGTCAATTGTGCAAAGCCTTGGTGGGCGCCAGGCAGTTGCCACGAGCCAGGTGGTTACATCCGCCCTGCTCGTGAGAATCAGAAACATTTGTGAGCCTTCTAGGCTTTTCTGACTGCACAGGGGAGGCAAAGAAAAAGAACACCCCACGCTAACGCGTGGGTGGTTGGGCGTGCCTAACTGCTGTGGGCCCAGGCCAGTATCTGAATTGGGCTTGGACGCAGATCACAGGGCCCGAAGTGAAGCTACTGGGCACATGGTCCACCCAGCCTGGACGCTTCAAGGCCAGGCAACCTTCCATATAGGAAAGTGCCTGGCTGTGTGCTGGACATTTGGGCACTTGGTCGTGCATGCAGCAGCGCTGCCTGAGCGAATGCTCGAGCCTGCCAGCAGGGCACTGGGTGCAGAATTGCACGCACGGGCGCAGGAAGAAGGTGGGCGCTGCTTGGGCACAGCACCAGACCCCAGCCTCCATAGCCAGGCTTGGAGTCAAAGGGAAGGTCAGCGGGGGTTAGAAGGTGGTCCTTGGTTGGAGGAGCGTGCGTGTGGGGCAAGACAAGAGGGGGAGGCGGAGAGAGAGAGAGAGAGAGAGAGAGAGAGAGAGAGA